AAATCAACAGAATAATGATATCATCACATGTCTTACAGCCTTTGGAAATTTTCACTGTAAACTCATGGAGAAATGAAAGTTAAAAAGCCAGGGCTTCCCTGGTGGCGCAGTGGTTGAGAGTCCGCCTGCCGATGCAGGGGACACGGGTTCGTGCCCCGGTCTGGGAAGATCCCACATGCCGCGGAGCGGCTGAGCCCATGAGCCACGGCCGCTGAGCCTGCGTGTCCGGAGACTGTGCTCCACAACAGGAGAGGCCACAACAGTGAGAGGCCCGCGTACAGGAACAAAAAAAAAAAAAAAGAAAAGCCAAATATGTCTTAGCATTACTGTAAAAGGGCAAATAATGTCTTAGCACTGTTTGTATGCCAAAAACCACTAAGTCTTCATCTTTAGCCTGACCTCCTTCCTGAGCTCCAGACAGCTCCTCTGCCTTGGTCATTTCATAGGTATTCAAACTCAGTGCTGTCCAGAATTTAGTTCATTACCTTCTATGCTAACCTATTCATCTTCTTTCTGTGTTGTCTATACCACTACCATTCACCTAAAGCTAGCTACCTTTAAATAATCCTAGGCTCCTCCCTTTCCTTCTTTACCCTAATTCAGTCATCAAACCCTACTGCTTCTACTTTTGTTTTTTTTCCCCTTGCCGTCCGTGGGCCTCTCACTGCTGTGGCCTCTCCCACTGCAGAGCACAGGCTCCGGATGCGCAGGCTCAGCGGCCATGGCTCACGGGCCCAGCTGCTCCGCGGCATTTGGGATCTTCCCGGACCGGGGCACGAACCCGTGTCCCCCGCATTGGCAGGTGGACTCCCAACCACTGCGCCATCAGGGAAGCCCTACTGCTTCTACTTTTAAAATCTAGTGGAATCTGAGAGCTTGTCAGAAATGCAAACACTCACTCCAGACCTGTAAGAATCCTTGGTAATTCACTTGCGTATTAAAGTTTGAGAAGCATGGGCCTGAGTGGTGATAGCATCAATAGTTACAAAATCCAAAGAAGGCAGGGCCCAAAAGGCAAACTTGAGAACACTGTAATTAGAACCTCCACTTGAAGTTTTTCTTCCTGTTAAACCTTGGAGTTTTGTAAAGGCAGCAGCACTCCTTAACTAAATGGTCTTCCCAACTTAGGTATCACCTCCCTCCCATCCTATCCTATACATTGCCCCCTGAGGGAGCCTTCTTCATCTCTACTTGTTTTGTTTCCTCTCCTTTCATCTCCTAGAAAGAAGTCCAAATTCCTTACTATGAAATACAAGAGCATTCAAACCCTGACCCCTGCCTATCTTTCACCATTCTTGCATATCTTCTCTATACCAGAAGTTTACAAACCAGATGAATCACCCAGGCAGCTTGGTTTTCTCTAAGCTCCTCAGGTGAGCTAAAAGGCAGTTAGGATTGAGAACCACTGCCTTACATCTTGAACAAAACTATGTGCCATGCTTCCATGGAAAAGCAAAAGCACATCCTAGTGCCTCTGCCTGCTTTCTTCTCATACTTTGCCCTTGTCCTCTGGGATGAATCCATAGGCTTTCTTAACAACTTAACTATCACCTGTTCTATTTTTTTTTAAGATAAAGAGACTAGTTTTTTTTAAATTAATTAATTAACTTATTTATTTATTTTGGCTGTGTTGGGTCTTTGTTGCCGTGCACAGGCTTTCTCTAGTTGTGGCAAGCAGGGGCCACTCTTAGTTGCAATGTGCGGGCTTCTCATTGCGGTGGCTTCCCTTGTTGTGGAGCATGGGCTCTAGGCATGTGGGTTTTGGTAGTTGTGGCATGTGGGCTCACTAGTTGCAGCACGCAGGCTCTAGGGTGTGTGGGCTTCAGCAGTTGTGGCGTGCGGGCTCTAGAGCGCAGGCTCAGTAGTTGTGGCGCACGGGTTTAGTTACTCTGCGGCATGTGGGATCTTCCCAGATCAGGGTTCGAACCCGTGTCCCCTGCATTGGCAGGTGGATTCTTAACCACTGAGCCACCCGGGAAGTCCCTATCGTCTGTTCTTTGAGGGAAGACCTCTCTTTCTCTTCCTTCCCTACCTCTCGCCTGCAGGCAGATGGAATTAGGGGTTTACTGCTCTTTGCTCCTATAGTACCTTGTGCTTACATCTATTACAGCATAGCTCACACTGTTTATGAAACTGTTTGTCCTACTAGACACTGATCTCATGTGAAAGCAGGAATTGTATCCTATTCATCTTTATATACTCCGTGCTTGGGCACACAGGCTAGAAGATAATAGATATGTAACAAATGCTTACTGAAAATTTCTGGAGCCTGTTGAATAAGACCTAGAGTAATGTAAAATAAAGCAAAACAAGACCAACACCTTCCTATCTACTAGACGATTTCATTATTAAAAAAAAAAACCCTTTCTGTTTAACAACTCTACATTTAGAAATAAAAGGCAAGTTTAATTCATATATAAACTGCAATGAAAATTTTCAGTTGAAGTAGATTTAATCAACCCAACAGTGAATATCAGATGCTTTTCACTTTTAACAGTAAAAGAACAGATGAAAACAAGAGGGTTCTGAGTGTCTGAAAACAGTATTAAGAAGAGGATAGAAAGCAGGGGGTTATTAGTAGGTTAAAATCTTCATAAATACTAAGAGGAAGTCACAGATAATGTCCAATTGATGAACCAAAAAAGATATGCATATTATTTATATTAAAATGTGGAAATAAATACCAGGAAGAAAAGCTAAGAGAATGGAGAGCAGGGTGGGGTAAGCCTGAGTGGTAGAGAACTGCTATTAAAAAATAATAATAATAAACCTTTCAGCACTATTTGTCCATAAAAACAAAAACTGTTATTTTTAAAAATGTGATGGTTCGGGGATGGATTACCAAAAGAATAAAATGACATCAGCAGACAACGAAATACTACATGAACTTTACTATTAGGTGTACTGGGGGAAAAAAGAAGTACTTCTATCCTGCAGCTGTTTACTGCCAACTTTATTCATGACTTATATGAGTATCTGTATCGTGATATATATGAAATTTCAACCCAAGGGAGTCCATTAAGCATCTAGTACAGAAATAAAACCTGGGAACCATTTTCCAGACAAATCACTTCTTAAATGGAAAGACAGACCACCCCCCAAATTTCCTTCTTCAAATTTTAAGGAAAACATATAATCCATAGTCATTTCCAAAATATTATGCCACTTAACCATTATTTTGCAGAAATTCCAGATACAGAACACAGAACAGCAAAAGCCAAAAAATTTTAAGATTTTTCTATCGTGTCCCCAAATGTCAAAATTTCTACACAAATAAAGCTAAGTACATCCAATGGTGAACCGAAATTGTATTTTAGTGCAAATACCATTATGGTCTTTAAAAAAAATTTCTTTTTAACCTAAGAACATAGCCAAAAATGAGCCTTAGAATTCTTTTAAGGGAAGTGGTATTTTCTTACAAACTGATTCTTTTGGAAGAATTCAAATATTGCATCTACCAACTCATACTGGGAATACAGATACCTATAAAGAACATAGAAATATATAACCATTAAATGTGGTCTAACTTTTACTATGTTTTTCTATTAAAAAAATCCATAAGAAACACTAGATTTGGTGAACAGAAAAGAGAAATATCTAAAATTATTTTATTGCCCTTCATAACATAAAAGCCTATGAAAAGAGGAGGCATGTGAAATTACTATATAGACCCAAATCTGTGGAGGTATCAAGAAATGTTCCAAAATCCAGGAAATATAAAGTGAAAACATTCTTGATATGGTCTTTGAAAAAAATGTACTTTGACAAGATCTAAACCTACAATTTTTAAGGACTTAATGTGTGTTAATTTGATAAAAACTAAACTGTGATAATCTGGTGCTACAGGGGCTACTAACGCTTACCTCAAGGGAACCTACTGCAGATAAAGTCCCGTCACTTGCACAGTCCTTTCAGCTGCCTGCCAGATGTCTCTGTGGAAGGGAAAGCCTGATGAGTGAGAGCCCTATGCCACACTCCTTTGGAGTGTCAGGGTGCCTGCACAGAACTCCACAAAACTGTCTACCTAGAGATTCCTAGATGCTTTCAATAACACAGGGCTTAAAAAGATGCCACCTTTGATATTCCCCTTCCACTAAACACCAAAACCAAATGCCTAAGAGTTACTGGGTGCTAATGACCTATGGTATTATTATCATGGTGATATATCTATACTAACCCAAGCAGAAAAAAGACTAAAATGGATCAAGCAGAAGTTAACATTGACAGGGAGAACACACACACACACACACACACACACACACACACACAAATGTTGAAAAGTAAGTGACAGAACTCCATAATCTGAGAAGAGGAAATATTACAGACTGTATCTGCAAAAAGTGAAGTTGCAGCATCAACAAATGAATGCTACTACCCAAAGAACCTCCTGTCTAAACATTTTTTAAAATGCCATCAAGAATATCATGCTCAACGTGAACTATACCATGGATCCAAATACCTACTTATAAAATTCCATATATTTTCTTAGTGGGGAGAGTAAGTGGGTGGGGGAGGAGGGGATTTTTCAGATATTTTAAAATATGTAAAGTGAAAACCAACAGCATGAAATCCCACAAGAAATTTCAAAAAGAGAAAAAAAATGTGTTTCTGTATCTCAGAAAGTAAACAAACCTTTACTCAGGACCAAACTAAGAGGGAAGCAGAACAAGAAATAATAGAAAACTGCGAAATACAACGTATTGCAAAACCACGTTCATCTCTTAGAATTATGAACGGCTAGTAACTTAAGAATACCTGTCAATACCATTAATGTACAAGTTCACCTACATAACCAAAGAAACTATATTTTCTTTCTAATGTCCAATACAGTCTTCAGTTTGAATGCTGTGCTTCACAAAACAGAATAAAATGCTCCTACAAAAAACTTAACAATGATTAACCTTTAGCACAAGTATTAAAGAAGGAAAAAAATTAATTAAAAAAAAGTGATTCCAACTTTTACTTATTAATAGCACCATATTTAAAATGAAGTTACTTACCTCTGATTCTTTGTCACTCAAAGATCCCAAGCTTCCAAAACTGTGATTAGAGCTTTCATTATTTGTTGAGGCCTGTTGAAAATTTTTAAAAAGGTAAAAATTAGGAGTAATTTTAAATGGAACATTTTACAAAGTAAATAATGTCTTTATAATTAAAAATAAAATATGATTCCTTTAAATAGGGAAGACAAATGAAGTAAAAATAAGAAACAGCAACTTCTTAACACTATACTTGGAAAGTTTTATCAAATCAATAAAGTTCTGCTGTGTTTCAGGAACTGACTTGTGTTAGCTGACTTTTTAGAATATCAAATTCAGAAGCAAAGGAAGTGAGATGCTGCTAGGATAAAAAGATCCCTAAAATTACTACCCAATGTATAAAAACTAATGCCTCCTTTAACTGCAAGTATTATTTGTGTTCCTTAATTTTCATCACAATCTTATGAAATTCCATCATATCTCACCCACACCCCTTTGCCTCTTCATATTAACAAACTGGTCAATCTCTGGTTTCTGTTTGTTTGGGTTTAGCCTTTTAAAAAAATCTTTTACTAACTTGACCATTTTAACTGTGTCACTCTGAAGAGTTTAAATTTCCTTTACAATATTTTTTGAACTGTGACAGTAATGAACTATCACTATGGCGGATAACATTTTCTGTTTCCAATATGTTTCTATGATGGTTATTACTTTGTCGACTTTTTTGGACCATCAGTACATTAGATCAATGTCTTCCAGGAATGTTTAGACAAGGCAGACTCTAGCATATATGCCAAAGATGACATATGAATGAACTTCATGTACAATCCGTTTCCCTTCAATTTGTCAGAGTAGCTGCTAATACTACCATTACAAGGTTGCAAATTAACCTATAATTACTCTTAGACTGACTAATTTCCAAACTGATGACTGATATGATACATTACATATATGTCCAGTGCTATGCTGGACACTGTAAAGGCTATTTTCAACACAAAATAGCATTTGAACTAAGATTCAAGCACTAGAGGAATTATAATCTAATTAGGGCATGATTATCAAACTTGAAAAAGAGAACATCATAAACAGCAATTAAAAAGTGATAGGGCTTCCCTGGTGGCGCAGTGGTTGAGAGTCCGCCTGCCGATGCAGGGGATACGGGTTCGTGCCCCGGTCTGGGAAGACCCCACATGCCGCGGAGCGGCTGGGCCCGTGAGCCATGGCCGCTGAGCCTGCGCGTCCGGAGCCTGTGCTCCGCAACGGGAGAAGCCACAACAGTGAGAGGCCCGCGTACAGCAAAAAAAAAAAAGTGATAAATTATAAAGATTCAAGGACAATGGAGGCAGTGGCAACATTTCTGAGCATCCCTAAATCCCCAAACCCACATACAATATTTACAACAAAATTGGGTGACAAGGAAATCTACATAAATCTCCCTAAAACAGCAAGTGGGAACAAATAACCAACAACCATAGAACCTGCATGGTATGAGAAGCAGAAGAAAACAGAGTGTCTGGCACATCTGAGAACAGAGACTCTCAAAACAGCTATAACTGGGTTTCTGCATTTTCCTGAAGTCTGAAGTTGGGGCAGTTAGCCTCTATGAACTCTTAAAACTGATCCTTCACTAACAGTGTCACAATGAGGATAAGCTACTGAGCATGGAATCAAAACTGAGCACATTAGGTACAATGAAGATTAAGGAATGAGAATAGTGGGGAAGGGAGCAAAGCCTTAGAAATCATAGAAAGCAAATGCCACACTTTTGAAGAGTTCCCAAAAACAACAGTAGAGGGAGCTCTGTAAGAAATGCCATCCTAAACCATAAAAAAGTAAGCAACAGAAAATGATATAGGTCAATCCTATGAAATTATAGGGAAAAAAAAAAGATACAGAATTACATCCTGATAATAAAAGCATACCAGAAATATATGCCCACAAAATAGGTGAAAATTATAACTACTTCAAAATGAGATAAAAGTCATTACAAAAATGACTCAAGATGAGCAAGAACAACATAAATCAGATTTCAAAAAACTCAGAAATAAGGTAACAGAACTCAGGAAAGCATTAGAAATTGAAAAAACTTTTTTCAGAAACGAGGATTAGGGGCTTCCCTGGTGGCGCAGTGGTTGGGAGTCCGCCTGCCAATTCAGGGGACATGGGTTCGTGCCCCAGTCCGGAAAGATCCCACATGCCGCGGAGTGGCTGGGCCTGTGAACCATGGCCGCCGAGCCTGCGCGTCTGGAGCCTGTGCTCCGCAACGGGAGAGGCCACAACAGTGAGAGGCCCGCTTACTGCAAAAAAAAAAAAGGAAATGAAGATTAAGCCTGAATAAACACAAGAGAAAACACATACAACAGATAATCCTTTAAGAGAATGAGAAGGTAAAATGGAGGAACAGTTTCCAAATCAAAAGAAATGAAGAGATTAAAAGGATGAGAGAAAGCTACAACTTGATGAAGTAACAAGGATCCAACATTCAGATAACAGAAGTCTTTAAAGAGCACTACCATAAGAGAATAAACAGTAAAGACTATAATTCAAGAAAACTTTCTTGAAAAAAACAAAACCTGAAACTACTGACCAAAGCACTGTGTACACTTAAGAATTCAGCCCAGAAGGCCAACATCTAACTTTTCAAAGGCAACACTTTATTTATGCCAGAAGAAAACAGAGTAACATATTTCAGATATTCAAGAAAAGAAAATCTGAATTAAGTGTCTTATATTTGGTAAAACTGATTTTTATCACATGGAAGACACAGATAAACTTAAGGTAAGGCCAAAAATTGGGAAACACTGGCTCCCATGAGCCCTTCCGAAAGAATCTAGAGAATAAGCTTTAGACAACCAAAATGAATAGTGTCAACCTAAGAATTTATGGCAAGCAATATTATTATTTACTTATTGATAAAGACTAAATGAGAAGTACAAGGAAGAGAGTATAAAATTTAATGGCTAAATGCATGCAAAGTTGTTAACACAATTTTTTTAAAAACTGTGCTATGGAAATTCATGGAAAGCACAAGCAAAAAATGTTTTAACTATTTTCCATAATCTCTTTGGTCATTGTGATAGTACACATTGTTGAGACTGCTGTGTGTGTGAGATATAGAAAGGAGTAAATAAATAATTATGTGATATTCTAATTCTATCATCTGCTTTATGTCCTTCAGAACCACAATTCTTGGTATAGAAGAAAGATGATAAAGATGTAAATAAAAACCTTATAGTTCTGAATTGAACTGGAAATAATATAAATACATGAGATTTTTACTTTTTAAAACAAACAAATCCTGCCGTGAGTAATAACAGAATACCTCTTATCACACCAACATTCCCTCAGATAACAATAAATTCTGGAAAAAAATATAAATAACAACTACCTGAAGGCACCTGAGCAGCCAAAAATAGGCAGAATCTGGTTAGGAGACAATATTTGGAAGGAGGAAATAGAACTGGATGGGTTTCCTGTTTTTACAGCTTTTGCCTGAGGGAAGACCCCTAGATTGAGCTGCACAGAGCAGTTGAAATGTGAATCAAAAGATGCAGTCTTTCTGGCTTGAAAAGCAGAGTTTGGAGCTACCACAGCAGCTGAAAAGTAAGAAGGCACATACTGGAAAATAAAGAACCACAAAGAGACAGAACCACAAAGAACTCTACCCATGTCTCTGACTGGTCACTGTTCTATGCAAGAGCGGATCAGACTCTAAGCAGTCCAGGTAAGACTAAAATGACTTAGAGACATCAGCTGCCATCCTCTGTGGGGAGACATAGTTTAGATTTCAGTTCAGCCAAGTTAACTGCTTGCTAATACAAATAATAACCAAAATATTAACACTCTCCAGAAAAATACACTAAACCCCAGAGTCACTATAATGTATCATTCACAGTATGCAGTATATAACAGAAAATTTCTAAGCATATGAAGAAACAAGAAAATGTTACCCACACTCAAGAGAAAAGACAATCAATAGAGACCAACCACAAGGTAACCCAGGTATTGGAATTAACAAAGATCTTAAAGCAGCTACCTGCAAGTATGTTCAAGACACCAAGGGAAAATAAACTTATAAATAAAGGAAAAAATTGTACATTTCAGCAGAGAAATAAAAATATAAAAAAGAGCCAAATGCAAATAGCAAAACTGAAAAATTCACTTTCTAAAATAAAATATTCACTGTATGGGCTTAACAGCAGAATGGAGAAAGTACTGAAGATAGATCAAAAAATTATTCCAACTAAAATATAGAGAGAAAAATACTGAAAAGCAGTTGTCTGTTGGACACTATTAAGTAGTCTAACATAAATGAATTTGGAGTCATAGAAGGAGAGAAAAAGGAGCAAAAAAAAAAAAAATTGAAAAAGCAATAGGAAGAAAATTCTAAACACTGGTGAAAGACATGAATTTACAGATTGAAGTAGCTCACTGATGTCCCCAAACAGGATAAGTACAAAGAAGATCATACCTAGGTACATCGTAGTCAAACTGTTGAAAACCAAAGATTAAAAAAAACCACCTTACCTCATACCTGTTAGAGTGGCTACTATCAAAAAGACAAGAAATAAGAAGTGTTGGCAAGGATGTGGAGACAAGGGAACCCTCCTATACTGCTGGTGGGAATGTACTGGGTTGGCCGAAAAGTGCCTTCGGTTTTTAAGTAAAAATAAGACACATTTTTCATTTTCACCAAGAACTTTATTGAAAAACGTATTCACCCTTTTGTTCCACTACCTTCTGCCATTTTTCAGGCAACTTCATAATTCCACCTTCCCAAAACTTTTTATCTTTTTGAGCAAAGAACTGTTCCAGGTGCCTTCTACCGTCTTCCAGGGAACCGAAATTTTTTCCATTAAGAGAATTTTGTAAAGACTGAAGTAAATGGAAATCCAAAGGTGCAATGTTTGGTGAATATGGAGGATGAATCAGAACTTCCTAGCCAAGCTGTAACAGTTTTTGCCTGGTCATCAAAGAAACATGCGGTCTTGCATCATCCTGATGAAAGATTATACATTTTCTGTTGACTAATTCTGGACACTTTTCGTTGAGTGCTGCTTTTAGTTGGTCTAATTGGGAGCAGTACTTGTTGG